AAACATTCCCACTTATTCTCATTTCGAATTCGGTCATGTAGCTATATTGCTCTCAAAAAAACTTTTGATTAAGTCTAATTCGTTGAGACACAAAAACTAAAGTGATTAGCCATTCACAAGGGTAATAGAAGGGAGATGTTATGTAGCATTAACCGAACAGCAGGAGTTGCAGAGAAACCTGTCGCCCTGCCCTTTCTCTGACTAACTATCGAAATGCGAGGATCCACATTCCTATGCCGTGAAAAAAAGTTCAAAAACACAGCTTAGCATTGCAATACACAATGTATTACAAAGTTTCGAAGGAACCTCCAGAAACGGCTAATCCCACAACTTCCCACGTGGAGAGTTTAGCGTTCTCATGAACGACAGCCCCTCGATCAGGAAGTTTAGACGTGTATGTGCAAACTGGAAATTTGATTACTTCCATATTTCAAGCGCACGGAGGCACCTTGGACAACGGTATTGTAGAAGTAATGGATTTCCTATCCGCTCAATCACTCACAAATCTGAGGCCAGGGGCGCATAATTGCCCCAGTATGCCTGAACTAAGTGGTGGGACTAAAAACTAGCGAATAATTTTCAATAATATCACCCAAAATGGCAGGGGTTGTGGGAGAGAGCCTTACGTGTTACTGTTTTTTAAGAAAATCACGCAGCGAGCCACCTTCTCTATTGAATCTAACAACAACGAAAACTCTGACTTCCTAAGGTTCAAATGGTTTAAATGTTGAAAAGGACTCGCGAGACAACTCGATTATAGGCAAAAAAAATCCGAACAACTTTCCGGCTTGGTAACAGTTTAACAGTTTTGCTTAAAGATGAAGTTGAGATTTGAAGTGCTCTCAGAAGCATACAAAGTTCTACAGGTTTCACACCATGATGACTCAGTTGCATACCTGGAGTCTTCCTTATTTTAATTCTGCGTTCAACTAATCATAACTCTCGAAAATGTTTTCGATTTCATACATGTTCAGGTTGCGCTTTTCTGATCTTCTTATGTCTTTTGGATTGTTAAGCGGTTTTGTGATAACCTCGAACTTCTGTGTGAGTGTATTCTAGACTTTTTGTTATCACAACTTTTTTTTGTCAACGTTACTCTGAGAATGACGTTCAATGAAATTTTTTCACTCTTTTCGCCATAGCCGACGTTTCAATGTGCCGAGGTGGTGTAGTGGCAAGTGGCGCCCTTCACACACGGATGGTCGCTTGTTCAAATCCCTGATCGATACTAGCATAGGCCATCGAAAGATTCCATTCCTCAGGGTAGTTTAATTGGTACCAGACTACGGACCAGAGCACTGACTTGTTCATCGGCTATCACCGCAAGTCATTGTATAGACCACATACACATTCAATACGGCACTACGATTCAGCATAGAAGTGAATGCTTCGGCGCACCTCCCAGACGGAATTGATTAACGTCTCGAAACTTAAACCTTCAATAGAAATCTCTTCAATTTGTACAGCCTAGCCTTAGCCTTTTCGTATCCTCCTTGCAAAACTTCATGGCTTCGCTACGTTTAGAAAAACCATTTGAATGAGCGGTTGTGGTGCAGCAGAATCACTCTAATTCGACCTTTATAGTCAGAACCCAGATTGAATAGGCACGCAGCAAAGGTGAGAAGAGACTTTCTCAATACTATTATGAAGCAAATATCAGTAAGAATCAAATTCTGCCTTCTGTAATTCAAGTTGTTCCCACCTACTAACTGAAATTCACTTTTTTTGTGTTGAGCTACTTATTCAGATTCTACTGTCGGAAATGCTTCTGTTCCTCATTTACATATAATCTATAGATGCTTATACCTAGAGTCGCACATCGAGTGACCGTGATACAGTCACAATCTGTATCGTTCTGAATGAAACTAGCCGTAGTGGGCCAGTGAAAAAAGGCCAGGCTGGAGTGAAAGGCGTCGCTGTCTCTGACCGATCTGACTGCCTTCTTCCAAAACTAGCGTCGTGTGCACTGTTTGCAACAGAATTCTTTCAATTTGGATAACAATTTCACCTGTTTAGCGCTAAATCGAATGGTTCACCATAGTCGAATATGCGATTACACACCCACGTCCCTCTTCGAGTCACTAAATAAACCTAAACGACATTCATCAAAAGGCAAAATGTTTCAGGTTGAACAAATTATTTTGAGGGGCAAATCCTAGTTGAGGTTCGAACATCTTCAAGAATTCACAGCAAATAACTAAGTTACGATATAAAATAACGAGAGATGATGATTGGAAAATGAAACTCCCGCGCGCTGGGAGAGGATGCGTGGGAGTCGTTACTACTTCGAGCCCCCCGATTGCTTCATGTAATAGATCATGTAAAAATGTAAAAAGATGTCACCTGTTTGGCTATTCTGCTCAGTTCGACGGCTAGATCACCCCCAGAGTTGCCAGCGCCGATGACTACGACCACTTTATCTTCGTATCCTGAACGAACGAGGGATCAAAATAAAGATCAACACCGGAATGGTCGTCTATTCGTACCAAACCTTGAGAATCTTCATTTCCTTAGCCAACGGATTTTTACTAAATTCCTTATATTCATCGTACGCGCAACACCCTTGCAATTAGTTTTTAGCTTTTTTCTTGATGCAATATTGACTTCCACTTTACTACGCTGATATTCTAGTACTTGAAAAAGTTTATGTGATACT